GAATTCAAATTGGGCTCCACAAGTAGCAACATATTTGAAGAGAGGGTTTCCCTAATCATGTGGAGGTTTTTTGTGGATGATTGGAGCCATCAGGGGATGTCAGCGTCTAATAGGAAATAGGAAATGAACAAAGGACTTGATGTCTAAATGTCCTTCCCTTCACACCTACAGATTTCCTTGAAGTAAAAGCATTCCCACATGTTTAAATTTGAGTAAAAGCAGATTAAGTTTATGATACATTGGATAAGAAAGGAAAGTCTCAGGAAATGAGCCATGAAAAAGGCTGGACGAGATAGTTCAAGCTGTCTTTGTAGATAATAGCTTTCATTTGCAGATTTTCAATTGTCTTAGTGTTTACTCCACATGTCAAATTGTAGCTAGCCCAGAGGGTTAAAAGCTAACTAAATAATAAGTCCTCTTAAAGAGGTCTTTTCAAATCTAAATGATTCTGTAATTCTAAAGCTTAATCTTAAATTTAGTCTCCTTGTTGTTTTTGTTTTGTTTTGTTTTGTTTTTGTTTGTTTGTTTATTTGTTTTCTGGTTTTGTTTTAATTGAAACATAGATACAAGATTAAAACTTTTAGTGCAAGAAGAGAACTTCTAGTTAAAGAGGAGCCAAAGGCATCACTGGTGGCTTCTTTGGACAGAAAAGATGAAGTTAAGGATAAATCTCTTTTATAGTTAATTGTGCCACTGAAAAAGAAAACCAAAATCATTTTTTGTTACTTTCCTTCTTGCTACATATCACTTTTTCAAACCTTATGGAAGGAACTATTTAATTAATTGTTGTTTGTGACAATTTGGCTACATGCAGCTACTTTAGAATACCTGATCTTGGAACTCTCTGGGGTAAACTTAACCTTATTCTGTCTGAAGTCGATTGCTGCGAGCATAGACAGGCAATCCTGCTGGCAGGCAGAATGGGTAGTGAAAAGCAGGGGTAGGGAGTTAGTGAAGCATATCTACTTACACTAGCCCTACATACATTCAGAACATGCCTGTTACTATATGTTCTGTGGAAAAGAGATTTCAGAAGAGTATTACAGGACAATCAGTGATGACATATCCAGAATCCATGGAACATAAGTCTGCTTCCTGTGAGAAGAAATCTGTCATATTTAACAGTGTCCACCTGCATTTATGAAAAGAGGAAGATCAGTAACTAGATAAGCAACATTAATAGTTTGCATTTTTAACATCTTTTGAATCTTTTTTAACTTCAGAAAGCTGAGAATCAGAAATATATTTCTGAAGCATCACACAGGTTTTCAGTGTTCTGACCTGTATCTTTCATTTAAAATTTCTATCTGGTTTCAGATATAAAATCAGATACGGATTTTTAACTGTGGACTTGGCAATAAAAGATAAATTGCTAACAAATTGCACTATTTGGTCAGTGATGAAGTGTTCAGTTAGTGCATACATACATTCTCTAGAACAACATACACTGACTTTGGTCTGTTTCCACCTTTATTTCTCGTGTTTCCCAAACAGAGAAGAATTACAGTTTTAGCTCCTTGATCCTCTGAAGTGACTAAAACCATGGTTCAAAATTGTTAATGAGGTACCTAATGAGGACTGTGAGGACACCCAGAAGCACTGCATGGCACTCCCAGAGCACACCACCAGCAGCATAGCTGGGTGCTTTGACTCTACCTCGAGTCAGTGAAATCACAGTTGGATTTCAGTCTGAACTTCAGAGTGAGTGACATTAAGCCACCTGTGAGGAAAGAGGCTATTTTAGCTGTTGACTTCAATGAGATTTGGATTAGGCCTTGATTTATTCTGGAGTTGTTCAGTGAAGATAGAGAGGCAACAAATTCAAACACATCTGCAGTGACAAGCAGCTAAATCCAGGACACAGAGTGGACAGCTTCTGAAAAATAGGGTCCTAGGAAAGTGGGAAGAACTTCCTAGTATGGATACAATGAGACAGTGATGACAGTCTGAACTGGAAGAACAGGGAGATTTAAAGCAGACTTATTCTGTTATCACTTCAACATAGATCTTGGAATAGAAAGCTATGTCTGTGCAGTGTCCTGGGCTGATATATCTGCAAGAGCCTGCTGCTACCATCACAGGTCTCTGCTTGCTCCAGAATCTCTGCTTCCTTCATTATATGGTCATTACATGCTCTAGGATTCTAATATGGATATTTAGGTCTCTTTCTGAAACAAATGTTGAATAAAACTCTACAGTCTATCTCTACTGTTGTTTTCATCAGCTTTCACTGGTTATATTATTCTGATTTATTTATTTATTTACCTTACAACTGTAATTTCTAATAATCTTCATAATATCTGCAATAAATCTTCCTCTTAACACAATTATAAATGAGGCCTTAGTGCAGGCTTTTTATACAATCAAAAGTTAGAAACAAAAATTGTGCAATATTCTGGAGAATTTTTCCTAAAGAAAATGGATGTGACTAACAAAAGATGAACTTGGCTTAAGCTGGAAAACATAGCATTTTCAGCTACTTAAAGCTAAGTGTATAGGGACATTTTTCCTTTTGCTTAAATATAAAACAGTTTTTCAGAAGATTTAAAAATGTTGCTCAAATTTTATTTTATTTTATTTTTAATTTTAGAAGAAACTGAAAGAAAATAAAATAACTCTTAAAATACTTGTTCTAATGAAAAACAGACAAACAAGCAAACAAATAAACAAAAAACAGTGACCTTAGTTTCAGTAATAAAGGAACAGAACAAAATTTTGAATATCTTATTGTACTTTTTCATGTAGAGCACAACTTTTATGGTCCTTATAACAAAACCAAATGGAAAAAAAAAAAAAAAAGACAAAGCAATTATTCATCTTGTTTTTTACAATGTATTTTTACTACATTTAAAACATACTCCTAATAAAATAATGTGCCAGTAGGCACATTATCCCTTTTTGGTTCAGTTCATTCGTTATCCATATTTTGCTTTGAATTTAAGGTGGTTTCCTTTATATAAATGATATTTGAATGACACATGCAAATATGGTACTAGGTAGCTCACCTCTGCACAGGTCTATGACTAGGAGCACAGTGCCTACTGCCTACTGTTCTATGCCTACTGCCTCTTCTGTGCTTTGCAGAGTCTAACTACTGCACTTTCTCTGACTAAACACAGGCAAAAAAAAAGCAAACAAGCAAACAGAAAAACAGCAAATTGGGAACACACTATAAAGAGGAAATTCTGAATTTTGATCCTCCTTCCATTAGAAATACACTGTGTGCATAAACTCTGAATCTTCAACCCTCTTCACCTCTGGGTAAGAAAGTATTTTACTTTTTATCATGTTAACTATACAAAACGAGACTAAGATGAATTTAAGAGTAGATTGAAGTAGATGTAGACAGTGAACTATTTAAAAGGCTAACACAGGACATCACTAACACATGAAGTTTTACAAGACTAAACAGCTGGAGATGTAATTCCTCTAGTAATGGCATACCGATTGCAATATAGGGCTGAAGTTACTAGGCTCAGACCTTCTGAGTGAGTAAAGAAAATGTTGCTTCCCCTTATCCATCAAAACAACAGATATTTTCACACATATTAATGAGTAATAACTGTGATATTCCCACCCTACCCCCAGCCAAATCATTGCTGAAACTATGCTAGGATTATGATGCATGGAAAACGTCTTGACTTTATTTTAATGATGGATTGTAGGTCAATTAAATTTGTAGCTTTGGAGACTTCCCTTGAAATCTAGCTTAACTTTTCTCAGAAATCAAACACTTTCACAGGAGAATCAGCAGCAAGACAGTCACTGGTTAACTGCTGGGACTGTAAAATTTTGGGTCAAAAAAGAATAATTCAGGGCATCTTTTGATTCCTGAAACTGGGTTGAGTTCACTTTGAAATTGGCCTATATTTCTTTCACATGTAAAACTCCAACCGCAATCCCTCTGAACTACTTTCAGCCTTATATAACTCTAATTCTAATTCCTGGTAGCACACTGCATTTCTGACCATTAGCAGTGCAGAGCTAAGGTGCACTCAGAAGTTTGGGAAGTAAAGATCAAGGTTTTAAGGCTTTTACTTCCTAAATCATTTTTTAAGGATTTATTGTCCTTGTTGACTGATTCATTCCTGTACAAGGTGCACATATACTACAGAAACTCATGAAACTATCAAAGCCTTCAAACAAAACCTGTCACATACCTCAGTAAAAGATCAAACAGCTGCAATGTTTTGCTTAAACAATAAAAAAGTTTTGAGATGGAAAGGAGATGAAGTAAGTCAGGCTGAAAAATTTCTTTAATTTAACCCCTCCTTTGGCCTTAGTGTATGTGAAAAATTTAATTCCTTTGCTGATACTCGTACATACAAGTTTTATGTACACTGTGACTTCCTTTGATGGGAAAATTTTTGTTGCAGGTAAGTATTTGACATTCAAACATAGTATAGGGAGGAAAAGAATGGTAACAAAACACTTGATTTACAAGTACAGCAGAAGATTCTTATAGTATGTAGAAAAGCAGTGATTAAAAGCACAGAAAAAAATACATATATTTTTTTAATTTAAGAGTAGATTGAAGTAGATGTAGACAGTGAACTATTTAAAAGGCTAACACAGGACATCACTAACACATGAAGTTTTACAAGACTAAACATAAGTTTACAAGACTAAACATAATACATATATTTTTTTTCTGTGCTTTTATATACATATACATATATTTTTTATATGCAAATACATATATTTTTTATTCATTTCATGATTGCGATAGATGTGTCTGCATACAAGAGAAAAAGAAACAAACAGCTTTTTAGCTTTTATTTTATTACATTTTTCTGTCTTTTATGGTCAGCTTTTGAAGTTATACTGTACCACTGAAGCACTTGTTTAATCTCCTTTATTAATTCCTCAGTGTTATTCTACCACTGATCCCTTTATGTTTGAATAGGGAGGCTTGTTTCTAGTTCTGTGACCCACATATCTGAGGTTAAAATCTTTGGTTTTATCTCTGATAGATAGGTTTACATTTGGAGACTACTTACCTGTCCAGCAGTGTCTAGAATATCCAAATAGGCTGGTTCATCATCAATTCGGACTTGAGTTTTGTAGGCATCCTCTGAAAAACACAGCACAGTACAACTAAGCATAGGAGTGGTTCAGTGAAAGGAAAATATTGCTAGCTTGGAGAAAGGAAAGCATTGCTAGCTTGGAGTAGGATTTCCAAAAGCTCTCCAGTCTGACCTAACTTTGCTTTCTTTTGAGTCACAAAGAGCCCTTCTGAAATCCTACCATCACTAAAAAATGTTAGTGAGCAACCTAGTCTTTTCTACTGTACTACCTCAAAATACTGTACCAGTAAATTTGCGCATGTTGAAAAAGATAGGCCATAGGTGTTGCCTAAGTCACAAAGCTTCAGAGGCTTTGTGCTAGTGCAAGGCACAAGGCTGTTTTTTTTTTCTTACCACTATCACACTAATGGACAGAGCTTGTCCATTAAAAATTTTCAAGGTAAACTTTGTATATATTACTGAGTTTCCCTGTGACTGAAGAGGGCTTCTAGGTCAGATTTGTCAGAGCAATTAATTAGGCCTCTACATCTCTATGTCTCTGGACAGGATGCCAATGAAATTTTTAAAAATAAATTCTGTAATCAGTGTCCTCACACTCATCATGGCTTGGGGTAGAGGAGGGAAAAATAGTTCTTAGTGGATTGTTTCCTTAGCTCATGCTTTTTCATGCTAAATTTGGAAAGAGAAAAATAAAAAACATGAACCTCTATTTTCAGAACTTATTTTCTTCACATTTCAATTACATTCCCCTCTCAATATTTGTATTTCCTTCCTAAGGTTAAATAGAGCACAGATATCAGGCCATGTTTGTACTTGAAATAGTCCTAGAAATTATCTGTGTTGTTTAATTAAACAATAATGCATAACAATCTGAGTGGCTTTAGTGACTGATTTTATGATTTGGCTGTGCATTGAAACATGAAGACAAGACGAATGCATTTAATGCATCTGAGAAGTGCCACTAATCAGCATGAACATACGGCTGACCATGTCCCATGGCTCAGACCTGCGAGCCCTGGCTACCAGAGACCCCTGGAGGACTTAGGCACTCAATGGGATTATCTTGTAGGTAGCAGGACTTCTCAAGAAATTCAGATTTGTGCCCTATATATCTTGCATTATATGACACTACAGATACTTCTAAAAACCTGGTTTCTACCTTACCTTCACAAAGGAAAAAAAAAAAAAAAAAAAAAGCTTTAAAATATGAAGTATTCTGAATGGTATTAAGTTGGTTCACCCCTGCATAGTCGGTGGCAGTCTATCTTTAATGACATAATCACATACATAAATTTCCATGAATCTCCTGCTTCTTTTGGGTCTCAGTTCAGAAAACTACTTAGGAATGTGCCTTGCTTTAAACAAATACCACTAATCATCCCACTGATATTAGGATGACCCAGAGGTTTAATTAAATATATGATACATTGCCTAGCTGAGAAAGCCAAAGCACTCCAACCAGCATATGCTTCAGTCAATAGATCTCTTTCTAGGTATTGCTGAATAAGAAGCTGGATGCTAAACTTTATAGATTGAACTAGGTTGTTTATATGATCTGTAATCTATTATGGCCCAACAATGATGCACACAATATTATTTGTATCTTTTAACAAATAATGAAAATAAAAATATATGAAAATATATAGTATTGGAAATAATATTTCCTTCATATTAATAATATGAATAATATTAAGTATAATTAATATGTAGTGGGTGTCCATATATAGATGCAAATGGGTGTCCATTTTCATTACATTCTTTTGTATGTAATTAACACATGACTCACATAAATTTTGCTTGATTTTTGTGCTCCTCAGCTGGATAGTTTAAAGCCAAAATGCTGTGGTCCCATTTCTCTCTTCACTTAGACCAACATGAGTTTGATGCAATAGCTTCAAAGTAGATGTTGCAGATAGAAATTTGCCTATGTAAATGCAGCCTGGATAAAAATGAACCCAGAATCTAGAGAACCCATGTTTCATTTGCTGGGTTTCATGGGTTTCAGATCTAGTTATAACTAAATTACTAACCTCTCAATATATCAGAGCTATCAGTAAGTAAATTTACATGTCTAATACCCTGCTGAGCTACTCCAGGTGTATTCTGAATATTACGCCACTGTAATCCATAACTTTATAACTGTGAAAAGCTGGAGCAAGGCTTTGGAACAAAGGTAAGAGTGTGTTTATAACCCTTTTACTTTGCAAAGAGAACACTTAGCATACAAACCCAGTTTGTTATTTTCATTTATTCTGTTTTCTCAAACTACTGATCTCAAAACAAACAAACAAACAAAACAACAACAACATACCTTACTAAGATATTCCAGAATCACTGTCCCATTTTCATTTTTAATATACTAACTTCTACTGGTGTTGGTGAAACATATTCTATTGAATATTGACCAAGCACATGAATCTAGTTTTCTAGGCAATTCTGTTTGGAACATATATTTTACTTGTAGAATTTGCCCTTGCCCCAAGAAATGTTGAGATGAAACAGGAAAGACATATGACTTTCATTTGTAATATTCTTTCTCTATTTAAAATTATCTGTATTCTTCTTATAAAGTTTAAAAATATTCTCAGCCAGGGTCTGCTAAGCAGGGGTATTCTCAACCTGTATTGAAGAGAAGGGAGATTTAGAACCTATTTTTCTTAAAGGATTTATTGAGGCAAATGTTATCTTGAACCCACACTCTCACAACAGATATCAGATCATAGCACCTACTCATGACCTTTGTAACGTTCATGACCTTTGTAATGCTCAAACAGAGCCAGCTTTTTGAGTGGCACCGCGTTCCATTCACCCTGTGTATTTGCTGACCTTCTGGGATTTTAAGACAACATTTTTTTTTCCCAGAAGAGGAGGTAGAAGGAAGATGCAAACATCAAAAATCATGCTTCCCATCTCATGTTGTACAGACCTAGAAGAAGAGCTAGGGGAAGAGCTGTACCACTTAGTTCTGGTCTACCAAGGTAATTCACTTTAACTGGGATTTAATCTGAGGTAGTAATAGAAATAGAGCTGAGTAAGAGATTAGGCAGAAAAACACCTTTATTTTACTCAGTTGAAATACAGGGCAGAAGCAGATCCAGAAATAAGCATGTTAAACAGACTTAATATGGTGTTTACATGTGGACAGAGAAAAACAGAAGGGAAGATGTTTCACAAACATAGGAAACAATGTGTATAGGAAACAAAGCAGAAAACTCTTCGCCAGATGCACTAGTAAACTTGCTGTCTAATATCACTTCAGAAATTACTCATATTATGGAAAATGCTGTCTGATATCTTTACACTATTTATAATGTTTGAGTACATTACATTTTCTTTCACCTAATTAACTTAGGTAATACTTCCTTTAAAGTTAATTGGGAGCTGTTAAACCATGTGTATCTGGATTTTACATCCTACAGCTTTAAGGAGTGATCTCTCTAAAATTTATTAAGAGGTCAAACTGTGGCTGGAGTTTCAAAATAGCACTAGCATGAAGTACAAAAAAATAGAGAATAATAATCAGGTATCAGACAATATATCACACAATCAGACAATATTCTTATATTAAGTTCAATATGTCTCTTTCTGTGAAGCCAACTCTCTTGTCTTTTGGTTTAGGTAAAATGCAGCAGAAAGATAGGATATTATAAGAAACAATTGAGGATGGATCTTATTGCTCTTGCTGTGAGATTTAACAATGATCCAGATACAGACTGTAAGAATTAACATTTTTTAGGTATCAAAGAAAAAAGGAAAACATAACTTCTGCATCAATGGGTAATCTGTGTAATAGGTTACTGATTTATGAACTGGATAATTAAATATCTGGCAAAAAAAAAAAAAAAAAAAAAGATTTTTAAAGAAAATTATGCTATGTTTATTTTCTTCTCTCATATATAATGCAGGTTTCTTTAAGAATAATATTCCCTACAAATATTGAAACTAAAAATGAAAATAGGTTAAAAAAAATCAACTTAAACATTACACTGTGTGGCTTGATCTTTTATTGACTTTAATAATTTGTGGGGGGAAGAGAGGGATCAGGAAACAAACAGAGCTCCACCTGTTATCTGACAGACACCTATTCTATTATTACTAATATTTATTAAAGGAGGAAAATATCTCATTTAAATCAAGAAAAAATGTTTTCTCATATGGCATGTTTAACTTGTTTTCATAATTGATTGTCCTTTGCTGTATTATTAAGGAAAAATAAAAGCTTCCTTAAGCCTTTTGTTATTAATATTATTATTTTGTAAAATGAATACATTCTCTCTTTTTTTCATCTTTCTTAGAGGGCATCATTTTGGAGACAGAAGAACAGTAATTAATGCAGGCTCATGTTGCTATCAGTTATCTTAGAACTGGAGAACCTAGATTCATAAAAAATATATCAAAGCCTTTTTTTCCAGCTATGAGCAGCTTTGTGACAAATAGATTTGGATGCTATACAATTTAAAGTGGTGTTGGAAAGGAATTTTCATCTGCATCACAGACGTGTTCCAGTCCCTGAAATATAGGTCAGTTGCCCCTTTCTTCCATTTGTTAATTCTGCTTATGTTACTTCCAAATAAATATTCTCTCCTTTTCTCTGTCTGCTACACTATCAACTGCAGATTCTCTCATATAGATGTATTTGCTTTGGCTAAGGAGGTGCCAAACCAGCAGAAGGGCATTCAAGCTCAGTCAGTCACACCTGGAGTTCTGCCTCTTGTTGTTCTCCATGTGTGCCAAAGAGACAGCAGGAGATGCAGCTTTTAGTGTGCTTAGATTATCTGCTACATATGCATTTTAATTCAGAGGTGCTCCTGAATATAGAATGATTATGAGTCTGTGGCTGTTTGAATGCTGTTTTTGTGAAAAATAAGGAATTTTTAAATAAGAGAGTGGATGAACAGGGATCTAAGCCACTGTACCAGTCATGTATCTCCCTGTCTGAGATAAAAATACACATCTCATAGGAACTGTCCATCAAAATATATTGGTTTTATGGTTTCCCTTAGCATATAATAATAATTATTATTATTATTAATTTTTTTATTTATTT